CCATTACATGTTGGAAGTGTATTATCTACTATTTGATTGTGATTTTACAAGATATTAGAATTAAGAGATTGTAAGAATCTCAGAAGACACTTTGAACTTCAGATTTTTAAGTAGGTTTGAGACTGTTATAGACCATGGGGATTTAGAAGTTGGACTCAGTACACTTTTGCATTATGATATGGCTACAAGCATTTGGAGGGCAGGAAGTGGAATGTGGTGGTCTGAATGAAAATGGTCCCCAAGGGATGTGGCACTGTTAGGAGATGTGGCTTTGTTAAAGAAGGTATGGTCTTGTTGCAAGAAGTATGTCATTGTAGAGGCATACTTTGAGATTTCATATATGCTGAAGCCATGGACAGTGAGACAATTCACTTTCTGTTTCCTGGTGATGATGTCTCTTCAAAGAAATGAAAACCCTAAGTAAGACACTTGTTATGGCCGTGTCACTGATACAGCATATGAATATTCTTGTTCCCATCTAATTGTATCTTAGTCACCACTAAGTGATAACTCCCTGTCCTTCACTATCCCTTTTTCTACTGCCTTGGGTGGGCTCCATTGTAATTTCAAAACCTGTGAGAAAAGAAAAAGTTAAATTTTCTTGTAGAGGATTTACTACTCCTGGAAATGGGTCCACTGCATCTTAGACCAAGGCAGTCTGATGTCTTGGGGCTTAATTAGACTCACTGTCATATATTTTGAACGTGATAATATAACATGTTTTCCATCTGTATCAAAGATCTGTAGCCAGTGTGGGGTAATATTATGTATTTCAGGACACCAGGCTGGGTTATGAGGCAGGAGAACTGTTCCCATTGCCATAGGTAGTTTGTGCTGCTCCTCTGTGCTTCAGGGAACTGGAGAGATCTTGTCCACTAGGTGAGCTCTTGCTGAAACATGTCTCAAAGTTCATTTGCCACTTTGCAATGGTCATCTAAGTCTATCTAGAATAGTTTGCCCATGCAAAAAAAAAAAAAATTAAATCTTGAATCCAAATACAGTATCATCTAGAATGTTTTGCTTACACTGTTGTATTTAACTGATATGATGTTATGTTTGCTTCACAAAGGCATAATATCCAAGGGTATTGAATATGGAGTTGTTTATCACTCAAATAACTTTTTTCTCTTTTTAACTTTAGAGGGTTGGTTATAAATAGTAATGCAGTTCATAAAGGCATTTCATTCTAGTATCCTGTAATTTAACTGCAGTCATCTTCCTATCTTCACAGGTTCCATTAATCCTACTCATTCTCTAACTTCTATGTGTTTACTTTGATGTCCTACACACATTTAGGGTGAATACCAGGAAATTAAGCAAATATTCAAAATACTTCACCCATAGGGAAACACAGATTAAAACAAGATCGAGAATCAAGTTTATTTAGCAAGACTGCCAGAACTAGAAATACTTCAATTTGTATTAGGGGCAACACATTACTGAATTGAACCCAATAGCAAGGAAAGAAACCCAATAGACTCTAATGGGATTACATTAATTTAAAAGGCTCTGCATAGCAAAAAAAAAAAAAAAAAAAAAAAAAAAAGCTGTCAATTGCTTATAGAATGGGAGAAAATCTTAACTATATTTCAGTTAAGAGGTTAATATATCAGATATATGATGAACTGAAAAATATATATACACACATAATCAACAAATGAATCAGTGAAATACACAGACAGTTCTCAAAAGATAAAATGTAGATGGCTAATAAATAGTTTTAAAGTGTTCAAACCATACAATCATAATTAAATTGTGAGTTTCTGTCTCATCTTATTTTAAATATCTATCATTTAAGAAAACAGCACAAATTCTGGTGAAGATGAGAAGAAGAAAACCCTTATTAAATATTAGTAGAAATGTCAACTAATTAAGTCAATGTGGAGGTCTCAATCAAACAACTGAACAAAGCAAAATATTACCAGATAGCCCATCTGTAAACCCATTGGGTATACATGCTTCTACAGAGATAATTCAACTTCCATGTTTATCAGTATTCTTTTCACAATAGCAAGGACACAGAATCAGCCAGGCTACTTATTTAAAGATCAATAGAGAAAATGTGCCACATGTTTACAATACCCCTTGAATAAGGTATAGATAAAAATGAAATCACAACGTTTGTAAGAAAATGGTTGGAACTAGAAAGTATTATATTAAGTGAAGTAATCCAGGCCCTGATAGGACAAATATCATAGTTACTATGTCATATGCGGACCATGAAATGTAACTGTGAACTATACGGGTCCAGGTGGGACTCAATATTAGTAAAGGCAGGAAATGGGCTCATTGTACTGGAGAAAAGGGGGCTTCAAAGAGAAGAATAAAGGGAACAGCAAAGAGGGGGGGAGTGCCAAGGAGGAAGAAGTTAACTCAAAATAGTATGAAAACCCCAGAAGGAAAACTATTTATTATTTTGTCAGCTAATTAAAAATCAAGAAAATAACAGATGTTGACAGGATGAGGAGAAAGAGATGCTTATATGTTGCTTTGGGGAATATACATTTCTCCGGCCACTTAGGAAACCAGTAGAGATTCCTCAAAAACAGAATAGAGCTGTCATATGATAATTTTGAAAACTGAAATCAGATTTTAATTTAAGCCTACTATGTACTCATAATTATCTGAACATTCTCTATAATAATAAAAAGGTAGTCTCTTAAAGTTTAGAATGAAAAACAATTGAATTACAGTAGCAGTAGTATAGTCAGTAGATTCCTCTGAACTATGTTCAAGCCAGGAAAACTGAAGGCCTCCTGTGCTGGACAGATTTTACTGCAACTTGATTCAAGCTATGCTCACCTGGGAAGAGAGAATCCTAATCAGGAAAATGCCTCTATTGGACAGGCATGTAGATAATCCTATCTATTATACATTTTCTTGGTTGATTGATATAGGAAGGCCCAACTCACTGCTGGTGGTGCCACCCCTGTGCCTGTGCTCTTGAAGTTATTAGCCTGCAGGCGGAACAAGTCATGGCCATCAAACCTTAAAGCAGCATTTTTCATGGACTCTGATTCAGCTTCTTCTTTCAGGTTCCTGACTTGACTTCCTTCAATGATGAACCATGATATAGAAGTGTAAATGCAACAAATTCTTTATTGCCAAAGTTGTATATTGTCATGGTGTTTTGTCTTAGCAATGAAAACCATAACTAAGACATTTCTCTTGTTAACTGAGTCAACCTTAAAAGAGTATAAAAATTCTTTACCATGTAGTGTATGGCAGCAACATCATAATATATCCTTGGAGGATATGGCCAAGCAATAGAAGAGAAAGAAGGTGTAGCCAATATTAGAGAAGAGCTCTTCATGCCAAGAAAATACAATTTTTCAGATTTTATATGGGGTTGTGTAGAATTCAAATCTTAGTACCCACCACAAATATGTATTTGGAAGTTCCGGAAAGCAGAGGCAGAGAAGCATGAACAAACAAGAAAGTAACAATCTCATTCTTTATCATTGTGGACTTAATGCCAGGGAGAAATATAAGTAAATGCCATGCAATAGCCATCTTTCTAACTTCTCAAACTAAACTATCAACTTGTGATTTTATCAATTTTCTGTCTCAGTGGTCTTTCTGTCCAGTGCTGGTTTAAAAATAAAAACTAACCCCATTCTCTCATGTTTAGAAACTTGCATTGGGTTCCTCTTGAAAACAATAAGTTTAGTCTCTTTTTCTTGATAAGAAATACCTATGGGGGTAGCTCACTGTAGTATTACACCTGTGTTATAAAAAAAATCCAGTGTTAAGCTATGTTAAGTAGTATAACATTCTGCCTAAATACCTTTATCTACTGATGAATGAAGGACTATTAGACATACCATACCATACTCAATTTTTTTTTCCTCAAGCATCTGGATAGGTTACATGACACTGTTTAATTACACACTTCAAAACTGTAAAGGTATATTCTAGAGGTCAACCACACGTGAAATGAAAGAGAATAGTATAATTCCATTATTCAGCTTCAACAGTTATTTACTCACAATCAATTTGATTCTCCATGTACTGTCTATAATTCCAGTATCCACTCTCCATTAAAATCACTTTAAAGCAAAGTGTACACTTTTTATTTGCAGTTGGAGTCATTTTTGCTCTAGTAGGAATACTATGTGAAAGCCTTAAGATATTGCTGTTTCTTATAAATAATGGAGTCCTAGTTTCAGTTGCATTTCTGTAATAACATACGCTGATAAAAAAGCAATACTAGGCAGAAAGGATTTATGTCAGAATTCTTGATTAATATTCATGACTGACTGATCAAGGTGACAGAAACTTGCAGTACCTCAGTCTAGGAATGCTGACTTCAATAGAAGGATGGGTCTTCCCACATCAATAGACACAATGGAAACAGTTCTCCACAGATATGACCATAGATTAGCCTGAATGAGATAAGCCCTCAGTAAGACTCTCTTGGGAGCTGTGGCAAGTAAGCTTAAAAAAAAAAGTCTAAAATCTAACCATTACTACAAGGAAGCCACTGTTATCTACTCCTGGAGGCCAAGGATGCATGGGGTAGCTACTTTGGCAAAGCATTCTCTAGCCCATTGTGTTGATAAAATAAGGCCCAGTAACACTCTGCTATAGGTTCATGCTTTACCAGTTCTTTTTATTTGTATAATATACTGACTCATTTTTCCATACTCAACAATGTGCTAAGATACACTGTGCTATCATTTAACAACTCTATCCTCTATATTTCCTGGTAATTAGATCTAGAAGCTTAGCAAGAATCTCAATCAAATTTTTGGAAATCCCCTTTATGATATGCCTCAGCATTTCATGCTTCAATCAGGAAACATATACTGCCTGATGACCTCTGATCCTACCCATGAACCACATCTCTATGCATTCACTCATTATGTGTTGAAAAATAGTAATGCTGTATTATTTATAATTTCTTCATTATTTTGCAGACATTATTTGCTTTATTACACTATTTCTGATAAAGTTTTGATAGTTGTGAATAAACATTTACTATTTCATGTTTCTTTTAGAAATATCCTGTACCACCTTGATGGGAAGACAATCCAGTTTTCCATTCTCAAGGAGGCTTGGGAGCACTGCAGTCCGCTGGCATCCAATGAAACCTTTCAAGAGGCCCTCTCTGATGTGCTAAATAGCATTAATTCAGCTCAAGTTTCTTTTAAAGCAGGATTGGATGTGTTTGAGAATGTCTTGGTTGAAAAGAACTGAGAAAATACTCAGTATTTTTCATTTTTTAAAGTTTGTTTACTATTACACAGAAATGTCTCTGTTTTATTTTTTGCTTGTGTTTGTTGGGTTGGTTTTTGTTTTGTGTGTGTGTGTGTGTGTGTGTGTGTGTGTGTGTGTGTGTGTGTGTGTTTGTGTACCTAATTTTAAATTTACATGAGAAAGGACATTTTGCATATATTAAGTATTTTCTTATATCCCAACTTCAGTATGTAACAGCAATCATCTATTATAGAGAAATATGCTGTATTTTTATAAATAAAAAAAATCTGGTGGGAGGGTTAAGATGTTCTTGACATCCTCACCACTATGGACATGTGGAATGTGGAGGAATGTCAGCATTCTCACTTGTGAAATCTCCAGTGGCTGAACTTCTATGTCAGACATGGAGACCTGATGAGGTTTGAGACAACTTTTCTATTAACTCTTCAATATGAAGAAATAATGCGTTTTGAATGAGTAATTGATACCCTGATCCACTTTGAATGTTTCTATTTGAAAATGAATTTCCTCTTCTTGACACAGCTAGATGTAGTAATGCACTGGTTATGAAGTTGTATTTTGTAAGCACTAATGAAAAAAAGAGCCATAAACATTCCAAGGGGAAGAACCCCCAAGAAACTGGATAGAGCAATTTAAATGCAAATTTTTCCTGAGACAACAAGTTTTGAAAACCTTAAATTGGTTCAGTTGATGTTACGTGAACTTTAGCAATGCTGTACATTTGACAAGGAAGAGCACAGTTTTTACTTTACTTTCTCTTGTTTCTGATGTAATGACAGAAACAGGGAATAGGCTAATGTCTGCTCCTCCCCCTTACATCTTTCCTACAACCTCTTGTTATAAAATGGTTTTAACAGAAGCCTATATAACTTCAACGGAAAAATAGCACAGTTTGTATTTTAAAAGCTAAAATTTTCTTCAAATGCATCTTAATGTTTTATATGATTGGCTAAACAAACCTTACTATAAAAGAGATGTTTGTTTTTGTCAACAAATACTATAAATGCAGGAAAAAATTTAATACTTCTACCTTTGTTATCCATCACAGTGACAAAGATAAAAACAGTAAATAGGCATGCCACTTGTTAAAAAAAAATCTATCATGTAAGAGACAGACTTTGTATTTAGCACTTTCATTCAAGAGATCCACAATCCATAGTCCCTTCAAACTAAAAAATTCCTCCTTGTTATAGACAAGCAAAACTTTTAGCCTACATTTTAAACACACTTGTTTAAAAACTATTTTTCTTGTATTGAGAAATGCAGTTTGGCCTTGGGAATAGACCACCAGAATATTTCTTATGACATTACCTGCCAATTTCAATCCTGAAACAATTGGCATTACACATGCCAAGGAAATTCTGAGGCTACCTATGTGTGTTTCAGTCTTTACTTTTGGATGGACATAAAAGTAAGGTGAGTTAAAGAGAAAGCTAGAATTGAGTGAAAAGAACGAATCATCATTGACTTAGTGATTTAGAAGCATCAGCTCTTCCCAGAATTTGTAATATTTGTGTGCTAGAACCAGAGAAATGGGATAAATACCTAGACAATTCCAGCAGAAATATGTAGTCTCTGAAGTGCCTGTGTACATACACTTTCATAGGAGAAATGAAACTATATTGTATTTTTAAAATGTACTTATTTAATGTAATTATTTTAATTGTACCTGTTTGAGTGCATATGGTAAGGCAGCATATGGGTCTGGGCATTGCTATCCTGTTGCTGCTTCTTTCCCATCATATGCAGATATTAGCATGTAAAGGGAGACAGAATGCTTATACTGCCAGAGAATCAAATCTTTTCTCAGGGGCGTTCATCACCAAGTCCAAGGTCATGCAGTTATTTGTGTGAATGACAAAATACTTTTCATTTGGTGGATTATCATCTTAGATCAAAACCCTAACTTGTTTTAGTACAAAAATTCAAAAAAAGCATTGAGGACAATCACTGTCTTCTAGATTTTTTATTTAAAGATTTTGTGCATAGGTAAATCTAATCACACATGAGTCCTGTATTCCTTCTAAATATATTGAATTTGTTCTTTGAAAATCATAGTTAACCCTTCGATACCTATTTTATGAGACCATTTAAGAGAGCACATGAAAAGATTAAATTACATTTAAAACACAGTGTATCTGTGAATCCTACAGATGCTGCTCCACATTTTTGTTTTCACTGAGCTCTGAGATTTGTGTCATAGAATTACAGGTATGACATGATTACCTCAAGACTTCTTCAGATACATTGCATATTAAATTCCCCCAGAATTCCAAAGTAAAGGTATTACTGAACAAGGTAATGGCAGGTGGTAGGTGAACCAGTAGTATTTTCAAAATAATACTGAGACATCTAGGTATCAACTACTTCTCAATATACTTCATATAGCATTGTTCCCAGGAGGTAAAAAAATGTACACAATCCATTTTCCATGAAAAAGTGAACATTATGTCCTGTGAATTTGTATCTAAGCAGTATATCCATAATTATTGTCCCAGTATTAGAGAGAAAAGGGAGCCCAATTGACAGTCTAGACTAAGGTTGAGGATCTCCCCTTTAATCATAAAATCACCACTATCCCAATTACATGCAGTAGCACCTGAAGACAGATGATATAGAAACATGTACATAGACATTCATTCAGAGTGGCTAAAACTGCTTAGATTTTTAAGCTTCCTGACTTTCTTGTCCAGTGTGCACTGTCTTTATTATAGATGACCTTTCTAGTGTATTCTTTAAAACCAGCCCCCAAGTCAGATACTGCTGTGGGCAGGGTACATGATTTTAATGCCAGGCAAGCTCACACTTTGATTGTACTTGACAAAATGTTCCCAGATAATCTGAACCTAGAATTTGAAGTTTAAGGAGGTCATGAAAGAAGATGCTGAGTGGAATGTTATTGTAGGGACATGTTAGCTGGGAACTTTTACCATCTATATCAGTGATTTTTGAAATGTTACATTTGAGTAAAGGTTTTTGAGAGTGTCTATTCTATGATGCCATATTATCTATTTTAGTAATTTCTAATCTATATCAATCTTTTATCCTAAAACAACTCTTGAAAGCCTATGAAAATATAAAAAAAGTCACATTGATGAGGGATCCCAAAGAGTTTGAAAATTCCATCATTAAAACTCCAAACAAGCAGCTGTAGAAATGGCTCAGAAGATGGGAACATTTGCAACTCAAACAGGAGGACCTGAATTCACTCTCCAGCACCTATTTTAGGAAAGTCACAAATTCCTGTAAAGTCCAGCACTAAGGGATCCAATGTCCCCACCTGATCTGTAGAGGCATTGTACATATTCACACATGAACAAAATAAACCCCGAGCAAAGTGTAATAATACAAAGGTTGACCTGTTTTATCAATAAAAGTACCAGAAGTAGCTAACATCTATGCCGGCTATGGCAGGCACTGGTCTAGACATGCTTTACTTCTGGTTTCTTTTTCTAGTTAACTATATACAACAATTCATTTAAGAATGAAGGAATGTGTTTAATGAGACATGTTCAGAGTTCTCAGATTAATATTTTTAAAATTTACTTTTTCTTTCCAGAAGAAACCTGTAATGTCAATGTGGCATCCCTTACACCAGGCACTGCAAGGAACATAATTCTTTTGATTTGAAAACATAATGTGATACAACATTTCACTATATGCTTCCCACATATGAACAGCCTTAGCTAGTTCATCAATAAATAGCCTTGGATGGGAGCCACTTCACAATAATTGCAAAATAGTAAAAAAGCAGTATACATAATCTTCAGTGGCTGTAGTCAACCCAAGTAATGATATGCCTGTGTAAGTTTAAAACATTGAGAAAAACAGGAAAACTAAGCAAGCAGTTATATACTATCAGAACAACTAGGCTTCAGGTTGGAATTCCAAACCTGAATCCACTAATCTCTTAATATCCTCTTCTAAATGTCTAATATGTCACTGAGAGAACAACAGTGTTGGGCAATGGCTATATATTGGACTTCAAAACTCCAAACAATCAACTTCTTAAATAAATACATAGAATGTAGAAGGTTTGTTAGCTAGAAAGATAAGCATCACACAAATGAAACATCTGTTACTATCTTGCTGAAATTTTTAAAAAAGGTTGTTTGCAGGATAAATTGTAGACTTAGCTAATAAAGATCCTCTCAGACACTCCATAGTATGAGAAATTAATTCCTGAGTAAGTTAAGTTTTATCTGAGTATTCTACTTTGCCTTCTCATCTCATTGGTTTAATATGTTACTGAGGTATGCTTTAGCCATTAACTGCCAATACATATATTGATAAGAAGGGAGATGATCTTCCATTTTCTAATAAATTACTCTCTAGCATGTTTCAATACAGGACTGAGAATATAGCCTAGGGATGGGAAAAGAAACACATGTTATTTGTCTAGCTATGCTAACAAATGCAGATCTGCCCCATGAGTTTAAACTGCTAACTTAAAAGAAAATGGCTCAATAGAGTTTGCTCTTCTGAAATGTGAAAAAGCATTTCAGAGTTCAAAGTACTATATTAAGTGTGAATATCTTCTAGTTTAAAGGATTTGTTTTATTGAATTTTGAATAAGAAGTGACATAGATATGAAGAATTGAAAGTTGTAATGTAGAATACTGCTGGCCATCACCATGTCCATGCAGAAATATGTTGTATTTTCTCTCTAGATAAACTCTAGAAATGGTATTAGACATCTCCTTTCTGCATTAGTGGTTTTAGAATTCATCTATTCAACATAAATGCATCTGTAAACCATTCAGAGTTTTACTCCATAATACCTTTCCATTATCATCCAAAGATGTACAATAAAAGTGCCTTTAGCATAAAGAGGTTAAGAATCCCATAACCTGGCTTACTGTGAGGGGACATGTTTCTTTTTTCTTTTTTGTTATTTTAGGTTTGTTTTATTTTTTGAGACAGGGTTTCTCTGTGTAGCTTTGTAGAAGAGGCACTTGCCTTAACCTCACAGAGATCTG